GAGTAATAGGTGGAAAATGGGGGCAACTGAATTTCACAACATTAAAAAAAAAGAAATAAAATAAGTATAATAAGTTCCCTAAAATTTGTTTTACATATATATGATAATGTTATACAAAATAAAGACACCTAATCTTTTTCAAATGTAAACCACAATGCACTATTATTTTAAAAGTAATTTGCCTTTCCAACAAAATTGAAACATAAAATTTCTTCAAAAATATCTTCTCAAAGTTAATATACCAGAGATGGGATTATTGGAAAATGAAGGAAAGAATTGGAGAATAACAATCCAACCAGGGTAAAATAGCTGAAAATTTTCACACAGAAATGCACTAATACTCAAAATTAATATCACTGGCAATCACTGCTTTTAATATCTATTTAAACAGACAAAAAATTTCCATTTTTAGATTTCAAACTTTAAGTTGAATATCTTTGTTTTGTATTCTCTTTAGTTTGGTATTTTTTTTAACTTTAATTTTATTGTTTACACTGTTTCAGATATCCCTATTGTTTCCTTCTTTGCCTACCTCCACCCAGCCTGTGGCCCTGCCCTTCCCTCAGGCCATCACGTGCCTGTGTGTTATGCATATATGTTCTTTGACTAATCCTTTTACCTTCCTCCATTAAGTTCCTCCCTCCATCTTCCCTTTGACAGCTGTCAGTGTGTTCCATGTATCCATGCCTCTGTAGATATTTTCTTAAAAAACACTATAAATTTACATTTTGTTTGTAAATACTTTATATTAAAATGATATACGGCTACACTGTCTTACAGGCATACATTTTTCTTTATATTTTCTCCCATCCAAGTACTAACCAGGCCCGACCCTGCTTAGCTTCCGAGATCAGACGAGATCGGGCATGTTCAGGGTGGTATGGCCGTAGACATGTATTTTCTAATATGCTTATAACATGTATCTGAAATGAGCTGCTTAATGTAATTTTATTTTTTCTTTTTTAATTTTATTTTTTAATTAAAGTTTACAAGTAATGTTATTTTGTATTAGTTTCAGGTGTACAGCATTAGGGGTTAGACAATCACATCCTTTGCAAAGTGGTACCTACCGCTTTCAGTACCTACCGGCACTATACATAGTCATTACAATATCATTGAATGCATTCTCTATGCTTCACTTTACATCCTTGTGACTGTTAATCTGTGCTCCTCAATGCCTTCACTTTTTTTCACCCTGTATGCTAGCTCCCCTCCCCTCTGGCAACCCTCAGTCTTCTCTGTATCTATAGTGAAATCTTACAGTAACTTTTTTTCTCTGACTGACTGATTTTCACCTAGCATAATGCCTTGTTGGTCCTTCTACACTGACACGAATGACAAGATTTCATTCTTTTTTTATGGCAGAGTAACATTCCATTGTACACATGTACAGCTCCTTCAGTTGTATACTCATAAGTGAACTCGCTGGATCATAAGGCAGTTTTACTTTTAGTTTTTTGAGGAAACTCCATACTGTTTTCCATAGTGGCAGCACCAATATAAATTCCTACTTAAGGTTTGCTTTGCTACACATCCCGGTCAATGCTAGGTGTTTGTTGATTTATTGATGATTATGATTCTGATAGCTGAAGGTGACATCTCATTGTCTTTTTTTCCTTTATTTGTATTTTTTTTGTTTTTCTTTTTTTAAATTTATTTATTTTTTCAAATACATTTGTCTCTGCCTTCCCCCCACCACTTTCCCTTGTCCCTTCCCCCCCCACCCTCCCTCAATCCTTCCCCTTTGGTTTTGTCCATGAGTCCTTGCTATATGTTCCTTGACTTGCCCCTTCCCTTCCTTTTCCCCCGCCCACCCCTCCCTCCTTCCCTCGTCTCTGTTGGTTTCTTATTTGTATTGTTGACACTATTACAAGAGCCTCCATTTCTCTCTTCTTTCCACCTCCTCCACCCAGCCTGCACCCCCACCTTCCCTCTGGCCATCCCCACACGGTTACCTGTGTCTATTGGTTATGTAAACATGTTCTTTGGCTAATCCCTTAACCTTCTTTCATTCTGTTCTCCCCTGCCCTCTGACAGCTGTCAGTCTGTTCCATGTATCCACGTCTCATTGTGGCTTTAATTGTATTTCTCTGATGATTACTGAAGTTGAGCAACTTTTCATATGTCTATTGGCCATCTGTATGTCCTCTTTGGAGAAGTATGTATTCAGGTCCTCTGCCTATTTTTAAACTAAATTTTTTTTGGTGTTGAGTTTTATGAGTTCTTTATACAATATAACTTGGCTATTAACCCCTTATCAGATGTATGATTGGCAAATATCTTTTCCCATTCAGTAGGTTGTCTTCTCATATTGTTGATGGTTTTCTTTGCTGTGCAAAATGTTTTTAGTTTAATTTTGCCCCATTTGTACATATTTTTTATTTTTCTTTTTTCTTTTTACCAAGGAGACATAGCAGCAAAAATATTGCTAAGAGAAATGTCAGAGATTTTACTGCCTATGTTTTCTTCTATGATTTTTATCATTTTGAGTCTTACATTAAAGTTTTTAATACATTTTGAATTTATTCTTGTATATGTTGTAAGAGAGTGGTATAGTTTAATTTTTTTGCATGTACCTGTCCAATTTTCCTAAACCATTTATTGACTAGATTTTCTTTACTTGATTATATGTTCTTGCTCCATTTGTCACATGTTAATTGACAATAGAGGCACGGGTGTATTTCTGGGCTCTCTATTCATTTCCATTGATCTATTTATTTGCCTTTATGCCTCCACCATGCTTTTTTTTTATTATTAGAGTCTGGTAGTATATTTATATGAGGAAATTACACACTGTTTTCCACAGTGGCTGCAACAGCATGCATTCCCACAGTGTACCAGTGTTCCCTTTTCTCCACAACCTCACCAGCACATATTATTTGTTTATGATGGCCACTCTGACTGTTGTAAAGTGATATCTCATTGTGATTTTAATTTGCATCTCTCTGATGGCTAGTGATGCTGAGCATCCTTTCATATGTCTCTGGACCCTCTGTATGTCCTCCTTGGACAAGTGTCTGTTTAGGTCCTTTGCCCATTTTTTTAATTGGATTGTTTGTCTTTCTGGTGTGGAGTCATATAAGTTCTTTACATATTCTGGAGATTAAACCTTTGTCGGAGGTATCATTGGCAAATATATTTTCCCATATGGTTTGTCCCCTTTCCATTTTGCTGATGTTTTCTTTAGCTGTGCAGAAGCTTTTTAATTTGATGAAGTCCCATGTGTTTATTCTTTCCTTTATGTCCCTTGTTCTAGGGGACATATTGGTGAAAATATTGCTGTACAGATATCTGAGATTTTCTGCCTATGTTCTCCTCTAGGACTTTTATGGTGTCATGACTTATAGTTAGGTCTTTTATCCATCTTGAGTTTATTTTTATGTATGCTATAAGTTGGTGGTAGAGTTTCATTTTTTGCATGTAGCTGTGAGCTCTCCCAACACCATTGTTGAAGAGGCTGTTTTTACTCCATTTTATGCTCCTGCCCCTTTGTCGAATATTGATTAACCATAGAGACATGGGTTTATTTCTGGGCTCTCTATTCTGTTCCATTGATCTATGTGTCTATTCTTATGCCAGTACCAGACTTTTTAATTACAGTGGCCTTGTAATACAGTTTGATATCAGGTATTGTGATCTCTCTTCCTCTGTTTTTCTTTATCAAAATTGCTGCTGCTATTCAGGGTTGTTTATGGTTCCATATAAATTTTTGAAAAGTTTGTTCTATATCTGTGAAATGTGTCACTGGTATTTTAATAAGAATTGTGTTGAATCTATAAATTGCTATTTCTAGGTTATTTTTATGCCATCATAAATGGAAAATTTTTAGTTTTCTCTTATGGTAATTCATGATTGACATCTAAAAGTGCAACCAATTTCTGGATATTTAGTTAGTATCCCATTACTTTACTCAGTCCATTTATCAGTTTTAATAGGGTCTTTTTTTTTTCCATGAAACCTTTAGGGTTTTCTATATAAAGTATAATGTCATTGGAAATAATGACAATTATACCCCTTCTTTTACAATTTGGAAACTTTATTTCTTCTCTTTGTCTGAATGCTGTGGTTACGACTTCCAATACTATGATAAGTAATAGTGGTAAAAGTAGACATTTCTGTCTTGTTCCTGTGGGTTTGTCATATATGAGTTTGAGTGATTTTTAAAAGTTTGGTACTGAAAATATATTCCCAAATGCAGGCAGTGCAATTCATTCTTTATATTTCCCTAACATTCTTCATATATAACTTTACATATTTTAGGTGTTATTTTCTCTGCTTTGAATGCATCCTCTGTTGTTGTCAATGTATCAAAAACCTATTTATCTTCAAAATCCAGTTTAGGTGAATTATTTACCAGGAAGTTTCTCTGATCCTTTCCCTGTATATCCATCTATATGACATCTATAGTTTTAATCACCCCCTGGCCAGTGCTGCTTCTGAAGCTTGTAAGTTCTTGTATGTTTGTGCACATTTTCATACTATGTGTTAATTTATTTGCTTAAGTATCTTTTCCTCCAGGCTGTGAACTCCTTGAGGACAAGAACTTGTTCATCATCACTGACATACACGTCTGTGTCCCATGGCTCTCCATTGCTGGGTGCAAGGTAGGCATATAGAGCAGAGAGAAGTGTATGCTTTCTTTCTTTTTATCTTTAAAAAAATCATTTTATTATTCAATTACAGTGGTCCCCATTTTCCCCCCATTGCTTTCCCCCACCGTACCGACCCTCACCTCCCACATTCAATCCTTACCACCCCCTTGCCTTGTTTTTGTCCATGGGTCCTTTATACGTGTTCCTTGATGACCCTTCTCCTTCTTTCCCCTGTTATGCCCTCCCACCTCCCCTCTGGAAGTACCTATTTTTAAAAAGTGAAAAGAACATGAGCTTTAGAATCATCCATGTGTCATAATCCTGACTCTCCATAGAAATAACTGTGCAACTATGGGCAAGTTAACCTTAATTACTCATTTATTATGATTTCTATATCTGGCACCTTACCTCCTCCTGAGGACGGGTAACCACTACATTAAAATCTGGCCACTTGTCCACCAAGGCCTTTAGGTTGAATGGGTTTCCCTGGTTCATGTGGAAGACAGTCCCATAAACCTATAGCATCACGAGAAAGTGAAAGGGTTAGCTTATTAGGAAGAGGTGGCCCAGCACTTTGTTTGATCAGGACAAGGATTATTTCAATGAAATCACAGTAAGTAACTGGTAAGGCATCTACTTACAATAGTCTCCAGGTATGACTTTAGTCCTCCAAATGTAAATAAATTATTAGGTCAAACCATGACAACATTATATAAATATATATATTATATTATATATTCTCTGGATGTAGTTAAATATCCAGAGAAATAAAATAAATTAACTAAAAATCATTCAGTATCACATTGTAGAATTTAGTGATATGTCCTTCTATTTAATTCTACTTACATAGTCATGCATAATTTTTAAATAATATCTCCAAATTACCTATATATATTGGTTTAATAATCACCCCTTCCACACACACATGCTATACAATAAGCATATTTTCTTGTCAATAAACACATCTAAAAAATCATTTTTAATGACTGCATAATATCCATTACATGGAAAAATTCTAATTTACTTTTTCTATCCCCTATCGTTGCTCATTTTACTTTTTCCCTAATATTTATAGTTTATAGCTTATTCTTTTTAAAAATTGTTATTGTATTTTCCATTAAGCCCCTTAAACCCTCCGCCACCTGCAGTCAGCATGCTGTTGTCCATACCACGAGTCCTTTTTCTCTTTGCTTGCCCCCTCCATTGTTGTCATCTTCTCTCTTCCTATCAGTTAACAGTAGGAACATTTGTTCTTCAAGGAACATTTATTTTGCAAAAATCTTTACAAATATGCCTATTATTACACATTTTTGAAGGGAAATTTCTGAGACAAAGATCAACTGTTATTTAACGATTTTTTAATTACATGTATCTCCAAATTAGTTTCATGAAAGGTTAGGGAAGGGGAAAGTCAAGGAACATATAGCATGGACTCATGGACAAAACCAAAGGGGAAGAGCTGAGGGAGGGAAGGAGGGAGGGGGCAAGGGAAAGAGGTGGGGGGGAGGCAGAGACAAATGTATTTAAAAAGTAAATAAATTTAAAAAATGAAAAAAATGTATATAGAAGATTTTTTTTTTTTTTTTAAAAAAAGAAAGGTTCAATAAACACTTGCTATTTAACAAGGCAGAACATAATGTTTGGTGAACAAAGTCCAAGAACATAACCCATTGGGACATCTGTTTAGACTTTTCACAGGCAGGTGTTGAATCATTGGTGCTATCAGGAAGGGCATTGAAGAGGCTAAGAAAGACCCTCTAAGCTGGAAGGGGCCCTGTGGCTGAGGGGACAGTTGAAACAGCAGTACACACCAGGGACAACCTCAGGACCTCAGTGCAGCTGAAACATGAGCCTTTGCACATAATGTGGAAAGATGCCAAAGGCCTGGACTAATAGAGTAATGAACAATTCAATAACGGAAGACCACAGCTCTCCCTGTGCTTTCCTGCTGTTGCCATGAAATGTTTGTGCCAGGCTCAGGAGAAAGAGGAGGAGGCAAAAGCTGACTTTACTAAGTTTCTATGAAGTTAAATTTCTGCCATCAAGAAGGGCTCAATATAAATATTAAATGCAGTTTTAGGACAAATAAAGAGGGTAAATTTTTCAAACATTGGCATTTGAAACCAGAGATACTCATATACATGTACTAGATTAAAAATAAGTGAAATCGCTCTTTTTCTCTGAATATGATAGTATCACTAAGCTGGGATCTAATACTGAAGCTGATTTTCCCTCACATTAGAGTTGGTCTAAAGGTAGTGTCACAGATTTTCCCCAAAACGTTAAGACCCACTTAACACAAGAACAATTCAAACACCAGACATCTGCCCTACACAGCATGAAGGAAAAAATTTAACCTGGAAAACTTTCATGGAAACCACTCAAGACAAAATGTTCTAGTCTGAAGAACACCTAACTGATTAACTACCTCTCCTCCTTAAAAAAAAAAAAAAGTTCATCGACTGTATGATGTGTTAATTCACTACATAAGATTGTAGGCTGAAGACAGTTAAGTGTTTTAATATAGACAGATGTTTATTTTGGTTATTAATCTTATTAAAAAAACAAGATAATGAACTCATTGATTTTCTTAATTGTTCTTTCAAATTTATTGTTTCTGCTCTTCCCTTTTATAATGTCTTTAATTCTGTTTTTTTCAGGATTAATTTACTCTTTTTTTTCAGTTTTTAAGGTGTAAACTTAAAGCATTGACTTGAGACTGACCATTTTCCTTCTATAGTACAAGCATGTAATGTTATGTATTTCTTGCTTATCACTGCTATCGTTGTACCCCAAAACTTTTGATATGTTGTACTTCCATTTTCAATAAACTAAAATATTTCCTAATTTTTCTTTCACTTTAAAGTATGGTTTATGTAAAGTGTGTTGAATAATTGCTAAACATCTGGGTATTTTCAAGATACTTCTCCAGTTCTTAAAATTTTTAAGTTTAATTCCATATTGATCAATAACATACTCAATATGAATTTAATTCTCTTGAAATTATTGAAAAAATGGTCTATCCTGGTAAATCTTCAATGTGTATTTAAATATAATATGTATTGGCGGATTTGGTTCATGGTATTGTGCAATGCCTCTATAGACTTACAGGTTATATGTCTACTCTGTAAATTATTGAGAAAAAATTGTTGAAGTCTTGAATTATATCTGTAAGCTCACCTATTTCCTCTTCTGGTTCTATCAGTTTCTACTTCATGTACTTTGAGCCTCAGTTGTTAGGTGTTTAGATTTTTGCATTTTTTGGTCTTTTTTGTGAACTGATAACTTGGTCAAGAGACAATGGCACTGTTTATCCCTGGTAATATTCAAGTCCTTTTGAAACATATATTATTACAAAAAAAAAAAAGAGCAATGGTGAAAAAGATAAAAAAGAACCTTGCTATTGCAAAATGTCACCGATGCATTTCTAAACCTAAATTTCTGCCTCACCCCAAATTAAACATAATCCATTCACATTTGACAAAAGAGAAGTTGACTTGTTATTAATTACAGAAAAGAATCATAATGGTTAACCTTTCATCAGCAACTTGATTGTTTAGAAGGAATAATATAAACACTAATGTGTTAGTTTCAGTTAACTTTGCCATTCTGGAAAAACTTTCATTATTATCTGATGTAATTCTTAGAAGGGCACAAGGGAATGATTTTGGGTCATTACATGGCAAAGATCATAGTGGATTCAAGACATAGCATGGCCACTCGCTACTGGTGTGATCTGGGTCAAGTCATAGAACTGACCCTCCATCCAGCTCCTCTTTCCTTACATGGATGTAATATACCTGCCTTGCAGCAAGACAGTGCGAAGTAAATGAGATGCAAGATGAGTGAGTGTCTGGCACAGAACAGGTGTTCAGTGAATGCTAATTCTCTTTTTCATAGGCAGTTGCTAGTCCTTTTTCTCCCCTAAGAAGGCTCCACTCTCACCTTTAAGGACTCGGGAAGGAACTTCCTCAAGGATTTCTCAAGCATCTGCAGCACTTGTGGGTCTTGTAACCGGAACATCTTGGCAGGTACCTCAGCCTAAAGAGGAATTGAGAAACATCAAGGAAAGAGAAGTCCTGGGAGATGTACAACACCACCAAACAGACCCAGGAGGCGGTTGTAGCCAATGGACTGGCCTTTATTCTAGCCTTTGCGTTGGCGCCTCATCCACTCAGCCCCTCATTACCTCCAAGGAAGGATCAGTCAGGCTGAAATCACAGATGCCTCATTCTGAAATTAGTTTTAATATTTTTCAAACTTTAAAAAATATTTCTGAAATTTTCATTTTGACTTTCACATCATCCAGCATTCTAGTATTTCAAGATTCACTGAGATTAACAAATATATGCTCTCAGCCTGAATGAGCATCCTTCGAAATTGAGCTTCCATTCATGACAAGCCTGACTTTGCCAATTAGAAGCTAGGTGACACTGGGCAAGTTACTTATGCTCTGTGCCTTGGTTTTCTCATCTAATACAAATGACAATGACTATAGTTCAATACATGTAAGGTTTTCAGAACAGTGTCTGGGACAGAGTAAGCACTCAATTAATGATTATCATTTTTTATTTTCACTAGTAGAAGCAACAATTAACCCCCAGTGTCCTCCCAAAAAGTCCACTCAGTGACTCTTCTTCTGCACTATAATTAGTGGTGAAGACTAAATGCAGGGCGGGGGGGCGTAATTCATATAATCTGGCACATGGTAAATGAGATCATGAATTTTAAATATTTAGCTGAGTGCCTGGAATGGAGTGGTCACCAGTACATGTCAGCCATTTTTTAATCATTGCTATCACTATAACTTAAACATAGGATATCTTTTCTTGTTTCTGGTTGATGATAATTATGACTAACACTGCTGTGGACGTTTGTGTACAACTATTAGAACATATGCTTTTATTCCTTGCAGGTAAATGCATAGAAGTGCAGTTTCATGGTTACACAGTAAGCAAATGTTGAACTTCATAAAAGAAATTGCCAGTGTTTTCTTAACATTTATGTCCCATAGCAGTGGAGGAGCACCCCTGTGCTCCACATTCTCTCCAAAAGCTCTCCAGAAGATTCTCTTGTGCAGCCATATTCAGAACCATTGATGTAGTAGTTAAAACCCTCAACAATACCCTCCAACTCAGCAAAACAAGATCTGTAGGGCTATTTCTCAAAGCAGGCCAAAATGCTATGATCAAAGTGTACTTTAACAGATGCAGTTCTCTGGTGGGTGGACTACATTGAATTTGACCCATGTCCCATTGTCCTGGACAATGTGAATGGTTAAAGAAAGTCTTCCACTGTCATTGTGTTCCTGAAATGGTTCACTGCAGAGAACCAGCCTTCCCCCATCTGATGGATGTTCTCCTTCTTTACTTCTACAAAAATCAGACTTGATGTTCCAAAGTCCCGGCCTTTGCCTCTAACTGAGTAACCGAACTGTGGCTCGCCAGTGACATTTCAGCACAAAGTGCTTGTTAACCAAACTTGAGTTAAGTTTCTCTCCTTCCCGTGTGTTGAGTCAGCATGAAACCCCCCTCTTACCTCTACCAGGAAGAGGCTGAACCCAGGGTAAAACATTCTCTGAGTTGCTGGCACGCTGCCTCTCCTTCATTCCACTCTTCTCCCCCTACCCCTGAATTCTCTAGAGCCCTGTTTCCTCTTCCCTCATAAATGGTTAACCTGACCCTTTAACTCCACCATTCCACCAGAACAAACTTCTGGCATGTTAACAAAATGTTTGTGGACATGACCAATCTTTAAGCTTCCCTCCTCTGCACAGGACTGAACTTTGACCCACACGCAGTCAGGGCCAGTGATGCAGCAGAAAGGCCATCCTTAGCAGAAAGACACTCCCTGTACCTTGCTTACTCCTCTTTACAAAAGAATAGTCATTTCTACCTGATGTTTCAGGTGCTCTGGGCTTCTCCTTGTTGAAATAGTCCCCTCTCCCTATCATAACAGCCTTTTTCCCATGCCTTGCAATCATCCTTTCAAATAAATTCTCTCCTCACCCATGTCTGGAGTTGTTTTCTACTTAGCAATACTTTGGTGTAGCTTCATTATGAGTAAATGGACTATGTGACTAGCCTGGAAATCTAAGTATCAGTCTATTCATTTATTCATTCATTCAGTAAATATTGATTGAGAATATTTAAATTGAATTTATTTGGGTTACACTGGTCCATAATGTTTTACAGGGTTCAAGGGCACAATTCTTCAGTGCATCATCTGCACATTGTGTTGCACACCCACCATCCAAAGTCTAATCTCCTGTCTCCTTTTATCCCCCGTAACCCTCTACCACCTGCCCTACACGGTCCCTCCCCTCCGATAACCACCATATACCAAACTGCTGACTGAGCACTCAACTGCGGTTGGCTATGTAAGGTGCCCCCTTACTCAGCTGTACTACGTTTCCTGGGATTCCCTTCCCTGCACGTTTCCAGTTAGGGCGGTCCTATGGGGTTCCTACAGGAGACTTGAAGGGCAGAGTGGAAGCAGCAGACTTTTCATTGCTAAATTCATGACATGAGACCATGGCTGGGCTGGCAAGGGCTTCACTGTCTCCTGGGTTTGCCTTCAGCTTCTGTCATCTGGGCCTGAATGCTTAGCCTCTTAAAGAAGGAACCTGGCTTCTATAGGATCCCCATCCTCCAAGGTCAAAGTCAGCAAGAATTAAAAAGATTTCTGTCCCAGTACGTCCCAGCTTTTGCTGTGGGTTCAGATTGCTCTTGACCTCTCCCACTTTAAAAGCATTTTCTTTCTCAATTACCTCTCCTGTGTAGTTCAATGTTCAGCTTCAGGCAGGAATAACAGCCCTACAGAAACTAGCTTAACTAGCCCACAGAAGTGCAGAATGCTGTAACAAATCTACCATTGCTTCTCTCTCTGGACCCTGTCTGATACACTTAACTCCGATCAATAGTCTGAGTAACAGTGAGCTTAGAATAGACTAGACTACATAGATTTCCTGTTACCAAAAAACTCATTCTCTAATAAAAGATGTTAAACATGTGCATGATGAAAAGAAGCCCCATAGAAAGAACTAACTTACTTCATATGTACACTGTGCATTTTGTGACATTTTTGAGGCAGCCATGTTTACAGGGGACATTTTGATGTAGTCTAAAATACAAATCATTTTTCTTATTAATGTGATTTAAAACCGTTTTTCCCCAAAATATAAAAATAAATACAAATAAAACTGATTGCCTTACCGTAACCTTAGTCTTCACCACTTCTTGAGCCTTATCCCTTCCTTAAACCTAAGAGTCTGGTGCATACAGTGTATATTACTACATAATATATGGAGCATTTATATTTTGACTCACTGTACAAAATGGGATTCTCAAAATTATCGGATCGTAACACGCTGACTAAGAACGGTGGACCAGGGATCATCAAGTGTTTTGCTTAAACTCGATGAGATTTCAGGAGAGGTAGGCGCTACTTCCACGTGAAGCTCACACTAGGTAGGGTTCCTGCAGGAGGCTGCGCTAGAGCTGGCCATCGAGGCGAGGATGGCATTAGCCGCCACACTCCTGGGAAGCACTGGCTGACTCTGTCTGCTTGGAACTATGAGCAAGTCTTCTTGTGAGACTAGATTGTGTTAAATTGGGATGTACAAACCCCTATTAACATGAGGAGAAAGTCATTGTTGTCTAAGTTCATTTACCTACCTACTTTCCTGACCGTTCTGTTAAATTTCACCCTTGTTCTACTTTTTGGTGTTCGTGAACTTTTGTGAAGTACTATTAGCTTACGAGAAAGTATTGGACACAATCTGTTTCTCTTTATAAAGAGACCTTACATAAATAAGGATCTATCACTATTTTGCTACTTGAAACCTATTCGCATGAAATTTATGATATATATATATATGGTGCTATATGGGAGACGTTTAAAATGAACGTGAAAAAGATAGAAAAATTACACTTCTTATTATATTTTTAAAATTACATTTGTTTCGTTCTGATCGGAACAAACAAAAAAGGAAAAAAAAATATAGTTTCAAGTTAACAATTAATCTGATGTGTATTGTAGTCCTTGTTCTAGAACATATCTTGTTCTTTTGAAAAGTTAAACAGGGAACTTCATTTTCCTAGTCATTGTGTATCCAAGGAAAAGTACCTGATCACCTAGATGTGATTAAGGGTTGAGATAAAATTTGCATTGTATGTCTATAAACTGTGCTATATAAATGTCACCTGGACCAGCATATTCCATTCCAGAGGCTGTCACATTCTTTGCTGCCTACCTCCAATGGTGAGTTCCCAAACCTTTTTAATATACTCTGGTTTCTCTTCAGATCGTAGAAATCTTTCTCCTTTTACCAAACCTTTTTACGTTTATTTACCAATTCAGAATAAGAACCTGACTTTAGAAATAGAACAAAATGTTACCAGATTTGTATGAAACCACAAAATACCCCAAATAGTCAAAGCAACCTTGTGAACAAAAATGAAGCCAGAGGTATCACAGTACTTGACTTCAAATTATATGACAGATCTACAATAGTCAGAACAGAATAATGGCGTAAAAACAGACACATGGACCAACAAAGCAAAATTGACAGCTGAGAAAGAAAATCACAGGCATATGGACAAGTAATTTTTGACAAAGCCACAGACATGCAACGGAGAAAAGACAGCCTCTTTAATAAATAGTGCAAGGAAAGTGGGAAAGCCATATGCAAAGAGATGAAAGTACATTACTATTTGTTCCCATGCTCAAACATTAATTCAAAATCCATCAAAGACTTAACTATAAGACTGGAAACAGTAAATTACATAGAAGGAAACGCAGGTACTAAACTTAAGGACCTTGGTCATAGAGAATATTTTATGTTAAAGGCAAAAATAAATACATGAAACTATATCAAACTGAAAAGGTTATGCACAGCAAAAGATAATGCCCACAAAACAAAGAGACAACAACCAACAAGACATGATATTTGCAAACAATGGCTCTGAAGAAAGGGTTAGTATCCAAAATATATAAAGATCTCATACTACTAAACACCAAAGAAACAAAGAGTCCAATTA